TCCTGATGTATTTTCTATTGTCCCAGTTGGGTTGGGACATAGCGAATCACTCTTTTACAGTAGTTTACGGCTAGTTAATTTTCCGTGTAGCACATAGATGACTTCACAGTTAACAAACATAGACTAATAGCCACAAAACATAAATTATGATATAGCATTCCTGTAGCTCAAACAGTAGAGCATGACACAAGGAAGCAAGAGAAAGCATGAACTGATAAAAAAATGCTTTAAATGCATGGTTAGTCACTTTGGATAAAGGCATCTGCCTTAATGCATATATGGAAAATTTAAATAATTTGTGGAGTCTAATCTTTTCGTTTATTTTGATGTTACACACATCACATCCTGCACTGCTGGCCACTGTGTTTGGATTTGTGCTGTGTAATAAGATTCCAAGGTGTTACCTGTCCTGATCTGGCTCTGCACTTGTCAACATCATAGCAGATATTTTCAAATCGCAAAACCCACATGGGCTCACCCCCAAAAGAAGCTCTCGCAATCACTCGCTACTTCTCATCCCTCCCGTCCATGCCTCCTTACGCAACCTTTAGCTCTATGACTCAGTTGCTAAGTTCCTTCTTTCGTTCTTTTTTCCTTCTTCTGCTCAGCTATTTGCCATCTGCTGCCTAAAGCAGTGCTCTTGTCCTTTTTTGTTTTATCACCCTGCTAATCATCCATTAGGTCTCCTTAAACACACAGACTGGCCAGACGCTTACATTGCTTATGGCACAAAAGAAATACTATGGTGTAGTTACAGAAAGTACCAGCAGAGGCTAATTGAACCATGATGACCAGCCAAACCCTGACCCCTTGATAAACAAACACAGTTTCATTCACTCGCTCGAAGTGAGTGACCACTGTCTCTTCAGCACTCTTGCAATATACATACACTATATTGACAAAAGTATCGGGACACACTTCTTAATGATTGAATACAGCGGTTTCAATTAGACCCTCTACCACAGGTGTATAAAATCAAGCACCTAGCCATGCAGTCTGAATTTACAAACATTTGTGGGGAAAAATGGGTCATGCTGAGGTAGGGTACAACGTTGCTAAAGGCGCCCCGGGGTAAAAGGCGCCTTTGATATTATTTTCATCTAAACCACTAGATAGCCCAAAAACGTGGCGTAGCACTTTCCAAAAGATCCGCTTTTCAAGATGCACATGTTTATTTGTCTGATCCTTGACGCGACCGCGCGCAGCAGCGTAAAGTTGATTCTGTGCTTACTTGATGTAATATTGATGATCTAGTAGCAAATGAGAATTGCTCAAATGAATGCATATATTTTGAGACAAAGGTCTTCTTTATGATTTTCAGTTTTGTTTAAGATAATTAAAGCAACCATTTTTAAATAACAAAAGAATATGTGAAAGTATGGTATTTGGGGTAAAAAGCACCCCTGCTGTTGAGGCTAAAGGCGCACCGTAATTAACATGATAATTAATAGACTTTTCCATTTCTTGACATGACATGGCTAGATTCAGATAAATATCATATATTATGTTGGGTGTCCATATTAGAGAGAATCACCATGTTTAGAATGAAACCATCATATTTAAAAACATGATACTAATCATATCATATAATAAAATATAATTTGTTGTTACTACTGTAAATATAATTATATTTAATTATTATTGGATTTCCTTCAATACTTTCAGAATCTTTACTTATTAAATTATTTTGTTTCTGTATTTTAAAATATATTTTTTATATTAACATATTTTAATGACAGTATATTTATTGAACAAAAATGAATTATTTTATTTTTCAAAATAAGCCGAAAATAGTACAAACTTTGCTAAAGTGATTGTTTTGAACAAGTATTAACGTAGACATTACTTAAAAAAAAACATTATTTTAGCTGAAGTATTTGTATCAATATTGTGTGCCTTTTACCTCGTGTGTGGGGTAAAGCCCCCCCCCCCCTTGCCAGTTGCCACCTCATACATTTATTAGATTTTTAAACAAAATAAACAACTTGAATGATTTATTTTCACACAAAATCTGTTGCTCCATAAATGTTCAATACAACGTATATATTTTTTCTGCAATTATACATTTTAGACGCAGTGAATAGCAATTTTTTTCTTAAGGTGGGCCTTTAGCCCCATTGTACCCTACTGTTGGAAAGTTGAAGCATTCACGAAGCTGAAGACCACATGCAGTCACAGAGTGGTCACTGAGTGCTGAGGTGCATGATGTGTTAAAATCACCAACGTTCTGTTGATTCCGAAGCTGAGTTCCAAAGGTTCACTGGCATTAATATAAATACAAAAACAGCAGGAGCATCATGGAATCAGTTTCCATGGCCAAGCAGCTGCATGCAAGCCTCACATCACCAAGTGCAATGCCAAGTGCCAGATGGAATGGTGTAAGCATGCCGACACTGGACTCTGGAGCAGTGGAAACCTGTTCTGTGGGGTGACGAATGCCATTTCTCTGTTTAGCAGTCTATTGGGTAAGTCTGGGTTTGGTGGATACCAGGAGAATGTTGCCTGCCTGGCTGCATTGTGCCGACTGTAAAGTTTGGAGGAGGAGGCATAATGGTATAGGGCTGTTTTTCAGGGGTTGGCTTAGACCCCTTACTTCCAGTGAAGGGAAATCTTTAGCATACCAAGAAATTTTTGGCAATGCTATTCTTCCAACAATGTGGAAACAATTTAGGGAAGGCCCTTTTTTATTCCAGCATGACTGTGGCCTAGTAGTGCATAAAGCAAGTTCCATAAAGACCTGATTGGATGAGTTTGGTACAGAAGAATTTGACTAGTCCGCACAAAACTCTAACCACAACCCCATCAAATGCCTTAGAGATGAACTGGAACAAAGTTTGTGAGACAGGGTTTCTTGTCCAACTTCAGTGCCTGACCTCACAAAATGCTCTACTGGATTGGATGAATGGGTAAAATTGGTCAAAATTACCACAGAAACACTCCAAAATCTTGTGAATAGTTATAGTTGCAAAGGGGGAACAACTTCATTAATGTCTTAGAATGCAATGTGTATTTAGAAGGCAATGTCATTAAAGCCTAGGGTGGCCATACGTGACATTTTTATGAGACACGTCCTTGCCAGGATTTCTGTATTTGGCTCTGTTTTCCTGTTGTCATACTGCTGTCATTGTACTGTCATACATAACGTGCTGGCATTGTACATAATCGACCAATCGTGGCACGTGAGATGGTGGGATCTACTGAGAACGGTCAAAGCGATGCAAATACGCGCACATGTTAGGTGTGTTCGTTCATTCTATTTTATTTTAGGCAATATAGAAGTCCTGGCAAGGACGTGTCCCGTAAAAATGGCCCGTATGGTCACCCTATTTAAGCCTCTGTTGGTGTAATGGTTAGGTCTCCCAGTACTTTTGTCCATATAGTGCCTCTTACTTCTTGTTAAACATCACATTTTGCTGAGAAAAGATTGCATTTGTGATCAAATTTTCAAAAGCCATGGCCAATTTTGCAGTCCACTAATAGCATAAGCACATTCAACATTAAGACAGCACACTACAACAAACAATATAGCCATTTGGTGACCTCCAGCAAGAAGGCTGTTTTAGACTGTCTCTAGACCTATTCGCTGTTAAAACTATTAAAACTATTTATGTTTTGGTTTCTGAGCGTGTGCGGTGACTGTTTTTCTTCCCAGTGGCCTCCACTATTAATCAATTAGTTTTGTATTTCACATTTCTGTTTTTGTTCTGTCTTTTTGCCATATTTAATTCATAGCAATATAAGGGAAAACAAGAAATGATTGAAAAGACATGATGTAAGCTGGACTCAAACTCTCTCTAGCACCAAAGCTAAATGTCTTATAGCACTAAAACAGTTAAAAACCCTGTCATCATTTACCCTCCATCCTGCCTTTCCAAACTTTTATGCCCTTCTTACTTCTGTGCAGGGGCGTAGCCATCATTTCAGAAGTGAGGGGGACAGAAAAGTTATATATATATATAAAACATTACAATATAAAATTTCTGTAATCTATATAACCTACCAGTCAACAGTTTTTGAACAGTAAGATTTTTAATGTTTTATAAAGAATTCTCTTCTGCTCACCAAGCCTGCATTTATTTGATCCAAAGTACAGCAAAAGCAGTAATGTTGTGAAATATTTTTACTATTTAAAATAACTGCTTTCTATTTGTATATATTTGTAAATGATTGTTGTGATCAAAGCTGAATTTTCAGCATCATTACTCCAGTCTTCAGTGTCACCATTCTAATATGCTAATATGCTGATTTGCTGCTCAAGAAACTTGTTTCAATTATTATTATTATTATTAATGTTTTTTGAGCAGCAAATCAGAATATCAGAATGATTTCTGAAGGATAGTGTGACTGGAGTAATGATGCACAAAATTCAGGTTTGAAATCACTATAAATTATATTTTTAAATATATTCAAATAGAAAACAGTTATTTGAAATATATTTCAAAATTGTACTGTTTTGCTGTACTTTGGATCAAATAAACTTCTTTAAAAAACATGAACAATCGTACTGTTTAAAAACTTTTGACTGGTAGTGTAGCCTATAGTCAACTTTAAATTTTCTCTAATTTCTAGCTTTTAATTGGCTTAGAAATCAGATAACTGCTGGACAATAACCAATAATAATGATTTGCTTATATACTACAAACACTTTTTTTTATCACATAAGGCAGAATAGTTTCAATACTGTAATAAATGCTGTCAGTTAGCACTGCATTGTTCATATACTTTATTTATTACCTGGAGATGACTTGACAAACACAAATAAACCATATTGTCGCAATCGTATGTTTAAATTCTTCATGTTTCCAAACGTTTCTGTTTTTCTGTGAAAACAACTGTTTTCATACAGCGATAGCTGGACGCTTTTGTCCATATTAGGAATTTCCTCATACGACTTTCTGTGCGAGAGCTCCCTCCGGCTTCGAGTATGAAGGAAACATACACTGCACGGAGTGTTCATCTCGCCTTATTCTGGGTCCGAATAAAACATCAAATCATGCACAGACTATCCTGTCTCTTTGAATTTAAATCTATATTTATTCACACCGGCTCTTGAAAACCTCTATGTGAACACACTTGCCCGAAAAAGTGCGGGGGACGAATTTACGTGATATTAAAAGTGGGGGGGGACACGTCCCCCACGTCCCCCGTGTAATCTACGCCCCTGCTTCTGTGAAACACAAAAAAATACATTTTGAAGAATATTTCTGCTGCTTTGTCCACATGGGCATATATACTAAAAATGGTGTAGAAACAATTTTGATTTATTTGTGAATTTTACAAATAATTATAAAGAACGGGCAACTAAGACATTGACTTAAATGTGAAATTTTGAAGTATAAAGACTGAAATGCTATTATCTGGTAAAATGTACTCCAATAATCTTTATTTACAACTTCAAACATACTGTGTCTTAATACAGTAGCATGAAGCAACACAATCACTTCTAAACAGATCTAAATGTACAGAATGCCTTTTTTCCACCTTGAAGCACATTAACTAACTGCCAGGCTCAAGCTATTCTTTTCTAACTCTTCTCTATTCCTGGCATCAGTGCTAATCATATGTGAACATTTATTTCAGTGTTTAAATGTTTGTGCTTTTAGTCCTTGTGCGTAACAGCAGAGGTTTTGAGTTCTTAGGAAACAAGTTCTGCAGCTCAAAGCAAGTATCATCGCCATATACTCATTAAAGTCCAAATTTACTTGTGATCCCATAAACAAGTCACTGGTGTGTAAAGAACTCAAACAAATTAATACTCTATGAATAAATGGGATTTACTGCGCTCAACCCAGTGTGCTTTTACCACACATTGTTATATTAAAGAGAATCTCTCTCCCCTAATTGAGCCTCACCACACAGCTATTTTTCTTCCTTATTGTCTTGTCTTTCCCCACCTCTGTTTATCACATCTAACCTTTTCTTCTTTCTCAACCCACCGTAATCCACATGAAAGTTGAGTGTAGGATTAGAGAGCTGGACAGTCTAGACAGTCGTTACACTTTCAGTCCTGCGTATGCGACCAACGCCTCCAGCTGCGTTCTTCCCCTCCCATGAGCATTTCATCTGGCAAAAACATATTGTGTTATTCCACCCGCAGTGTTTAGCATGGCTGGGCTGCCTTGCACCGTTTACTTTAAGTGGTATAAGGAAGCGAATGAAGTCAATACACATCAAGTCTGCAGGGAGATGAAATGGTTGATTTAGTTACAGATCTTATTAATGAAAGGCAGAGGAACATCCCTGTCAAGAGGTGCAGAAAATTACAGTGATATTAGATGAATCATGTCCTTAATTTCACATGAAGGACAAAGAAGTTTTAAAATCCAATTCATCTCATTCAGAGATGCTTTCTTTTTGTTACTTGATACATAGTGTGAACTATAATATCCTGTCGATTCCCTAGTCCGCTCCATGTTATTTATTTACAGATGGAAATTTGTCTACAGAAACCTTGAAATTAAGTTTCCTTGACCAAAAATTATCAAGGAAGTCTCCTTCTTAGGTCCTTTTAATACCTGTCTCTTCACTAAACAAATGCCCCACTTTTTTGTGCAATATTAAACACCTTCAAAAAGACAAATTCACCCTTGCTTATCTTTTTTGCATTTAATTCCTGTGTACTAATCTAGTCTTCTAAACGTGGCATTGTGTACTGTAAATATGAAGTGATAATAAGTAATTAATTGTTCCCATTTTAATTTTGTGACATTTCTAAAATCTTTCTAAAGACTTTTTTCAGCTTTCCACTTGCTCTTGATGAGGTCAAGTCTTGTAAGCTTTTTGGAGAAAACTGGCCAAAGATCAAAATGCAAAGTCAACAATTTCCCAACAAATGGGGAGTAAAGGAGAGACACAGAGAAAGAGAGAGAGAGACAGATGAAGACTGAAATTGAGATCAAGTTATAGGAACAGGGGGTAATGGTGAGGTTGGTCCTCCTCACCCCTCCTCTCTTGAACCCGCTACACATTCATCCTCTCTTCTGTGAGAAAAAAAGAGAAAGAAAATGAGAGTGAAGTCTGAATAGATTAAAATCAATATGTCTACCTGCTTTTTATTTTTGTTCATTATTAATCTGGGGCCAAGCTGCTTCTCCAGGGAGATATGGGAGAAATGGGATTTACTTGCAGGGCCTCCTGTGTGCTGTTTCTGAAGGTGGTTTTAGCAGAACAAGGGGAAAAAAGCACTGAAAAAGAAAAGGATGCATAGACATGGAGAACTGGGACCTGATTGATTGATTAATTGCTCTTACAGGCAGTGGCGCAAAAACAGGGTATGCGGTACAGTGCATAGAGGTGTCATACATAGAGGGGCGCCATTTTGCCAAAATCATTCTGTGAAAAGCTTCTTTAATAAAACGTTATAAATAATCAAAAGCTTAGTTATTAAAAATTAATGTAACATTTTTTTTTAGCATTTTAATGAGTTAAAAAATGTATTTATTAAAAACTTAAGACGCGAAACGGCCGTATCTCTTTGCGACCACAGCAAACGGGAGACTTTTCAGATGCGCACTTCAGCTTGACTCGTGCGGAAAAGGTACATTTGCCAAATGAGCTTCAGTAGAACAACAGGGAACATCTCTAGGTTACGTATGTAACCATGGTTCCCCGAGGGAACGAGATGCTGCGTCAAGAATCGCTTTTGAAACGCCCCTGCATGACCGCGTTCTGAAGCACGTGTAAAATCAGTCCAATGGAGCAGCAAGACGTCATGAGCGGGGTGACGTGAGCACCAGGAAGTATAAAAGCTCATCCGGTAGAGCGCAAGTTAGCTTCAATGAAGTAGTGCCTGGAGGGATTCAGGGAGTAAGGCAAAGAGACACAGCGTCTAGTTCCCTCGGGGAACCATGGTTACATACGTAACCTAGAGACGTTCCCCATCAGGGACTCGAGCTGCGTCGAGAATCGCTTTTGAAACGCCCCTGCATGACCGCGTTCTGAAGCACGTGTAAAATCAGTCCAATGGAGCAGCAAGACGTCATGAGCGGGGTGACGTGAGCACCAGGAAGTATAAAAGCTCATCCGGTAGAGCGCAAGTTAGCTTCAATGAAGTAGTGCCTGGAGGGATTCAGGGAGTAAGGCAAAGAGACACAGCGTCTAGTTCCCTCGGGGAACCATGGTTACATACGTAACCTAGAGACGTTCCCCATCAGGGACTCGAGCTGCGTCGAGAATCGCTTTGGGAACGAGAATACACACTGCGCCATACTACCAAAAATGTCCTGCAAGGCCACACCCAAGTTGAAAGCCTTGGAGGCCGCCATACTCCCGATCGAGTGCGCTCTGACCCCCTTAGGTGACGGAGGAAGCCAGAGGACTCGTAGGCTAGTGAGATGGTCTCGACCACCCACCTACTCATAGTCTGCTTGGTCGCCGGAGATCCTTTCTTTGGCAGACCAAAGCAAACAAACAGCTGATCTGCCTTACGCCACGGGGCAGCTCTGTGTGCGTAAGCGTCCAGTGCTCTAACTGGACAAAGCAGATTAAGCCTTTCTTGGCCTACTTCCTGAAACGGAGGAGGACAGAACGCCTGAAGTACTATGGGCCCTGGCGAAGAAGTGGGCACCTTAGGGACATACCTGACCCTCGGGTAAAGGAATGCCCTAACCATGCCATGGAGAATCGCTCCTGCAGAAACTCCAAAACTGTACCAATTGGGCAGTTGACTGGGTCTTGCAGTCGCTGTCCGCACCATGAAATGAAAAGCTTCCACTTTAAGGCGTACTGTTTCCTAGTGGCGGGAGCTCTGGACTGGAGTATAGTCTCAACAACCTCAGTTGAGAGACCAGATGCTAGGAGCTGTGCCCCCTCAGGGGCCATGCCCACAACTTCCATAACTCCGGGCGGGGTGAAGAATGGTGCCCCCCGCCTGAGAGAGGAGGTCCCTCCTGATCAGAATCTCCAGCGGAGAGCCGTCGAGGAGGGACACCATGTCCGAGAACCATCCTCGGGCCGGCCAGAATGGGGCTACTAGCAACAGACGGACCCCATCTCGGCGTACTCTCTCGAGAACTCCCGGGAGCAGAATGATCAGGGGAAAAGCATACAGACAATGCCTCTGCCATGTCTGTACCATGGCATCCAGCCCCAGTGGAGCTGGATGCGTGAGGGAGAACCAGAGCGGGCAGTGTGTCATTTCCTGTGACGCAAATAGATCTACTTCTGCCTGGCCAAATTCCCTCCAGAGGAGCTCCACCACCTGGGAGTGGAGTCTCTAACCCCCGGGCCTCAGCCCCTGTCTCGACAGGATGTCTGCCCCCTGATTGCGATACCCAGGGATGTAGACTGCTCTTAATGAGAAGAGCTTCCCCTGAGCCCACAGAAGGATCTAGCGCACCAGCTTGTACAAGGGGCGTGAAGGCAGACCCCCCTGCCGATTGATGTAGGAGACCACCGATGTGTTGTCTGTGCGGACAAGGACATGATGTCCCCTTAGGTCTGGAAGGAAGTGTGTCAGAGCCCGAAACACGGCCAGCATCTCCAGGCAGTTGATGTGCCAAGTAAGATGATGGTCTTCCCACAGACCCTGGGCAGAGTGTGGAAACTTCTGCCAAATATCTCAAAATGGGTCCTGCAAGTTGTAGAGAAAGGCTACAGAATCCAGTTCGGTTCTCGTCCGCCCCCCAGCCCGTGAGAGAGGCATCTGTTGTTAGTGTTACATGACGACAAGGATCCCCTAACAATCGGGCCTTGAACCAGGAACCAACGTTTTTTCCACATGTCCAAGGCACGTAAGCATCGCCGTGTGACCTTGATCATGCGAAGCGGATTCCCCCTCGGGGAAAATCCCTTAGTCCTGAGCCACCACTGCAAGGGTCTCATGTACAGCAGGCCAAAAGGTATCACGTTGGATGCCGCTGCCGTCAAACCCAACAGCCTCTGAAACGGTTTGACAGTGAGTGACTGGCCTTCTCTTACTCTCTTGACTGTCGTGAGGATTGACTCGATACGAGCAGGAGACAAACGTGCCTGCATCGTGGCAAAATCCCACACCATGCCTTAATAAGTGGTTCTCTGTAGTGGAGAAAGTACACTCTTCTTGGTGTTTAGTCTTAACCCCAGCTCTCTCATATGGGCGAGGATGACATCTCGATGCTGAGCCGCCATCTGCTCCGATCGAGCTAGTGTCAACCAATTGTCGATGTAATTGAGTATGCGGACGCTCTGGAGTCGCAAAGGAGCCAGAGCCGCATCCACACACTTTGTGAAAGTGCAGGGTGAGAGTGACAGGCCAAAGGGAAGAACTCGACACAACCCTCCATCCTTCTTCGGAACGATGAAGTAACGACTGTAAACCCCGGACGCTCTTGAGAGAGGAGGAACCCGTTCTATGGCCCCCTTCCTCAAGAGAGTATCTACTTCTTGTTCCATTACCAGAGCCTGCTCGGGGCCCACTAGTGTGGGAATGACCCCGTTGAAACGAGGCGGACGAGAACCGAACTGGATTCTGTAGCCTTTCTCTACAACTTGCAGGACCCATTTTGAGATATTTGGCAGAAGTTTCCACGCTGCCAGAAAATCTACTAAGGGAACCAGCCTCTCGAGGCTGGCCTCTGGTTTTATTAGAGGAGCCAGTTCGGTGCCCTGAATTGGATGACCGGCAGGGAACAACCGACCTGACTGCTGTAGCCCCTTCACTTGAGGGGGCGAGCTCTCCTGTGCCGTACCGTTGCCGGGCAGCAGCTGAGATTTTCGCTCGTCTGAGCTCACTGAGCCCTGAAGCACCGAGGGTGGCAGGGGTATCAATGAACCTCCGTGAGGGCACTGAAGAGGATTGGGCACGTATACTGAGGTGTTATCCTTTCCTCCCCAGGTGGGGCTGCCCTCAGGGACCTAAAAATGGTGGCGTCAGGACTGTTTAGCCGAGGTCCTCTTAGACAAAATAACGGTCCACAGATCTGTTTTTGGTCTAGAAGACCCCGACTGAGTGCGTCGCCCCGACTCCCGATCTTTCTGTGTAGGGTTGCGGGTTGCAACGCTCTGTTTTTGAGACTGGCGATACCAGGAGCTTGACAGCATGGGCTGCTCCCGCTCAGCAGCCCCATGGGCCTGGGAGCGACAAGGGAGGAAACGTTGGAACGCCGACGCTTGCTTCTTCGCCTCCTGAAACCTATCGACAACAGTGTTGACTGCGTCACCAAAAAGGCCAGAGGGCAAGAGCGGGGCGTCTGGGAGGAAGAATCTGTCCTTATCTTGCATTTCAGACAGATTCAACCACAGATGCCATTCCGTAGCCACCATAGCTGCCATTGAACGGCCGAAGCTCTGGCCGTTTCTTTGGTGGCCCGTAGGGACAAATCTGTGGCCCTACGCAGTTCGGCTACTACGTCAGATTTCTCCTCCTCCCTGTCATCCAGGTCCCTGAGCAGGTCAGTCTGGTATGCTTGTAACACCACCATGGTGTGCAAACATGCGCCAGCCTGACCTTCCGCCGTATAAGCTTTCCCAACCAGACTCAATGTCAGCCTAACGGGCCTGGTGGGAAGCTTCGGGGCCTTCAGGGACGATGCTGAGGATGGGGAGAGATAGCTCGCAAGCGTCTGCTCCACCACTGGCATCGCCCCATATCCCTCATCATTCAGCCCCACGATGTTGGAATAATTCGAGACTGTGGGGCTGTAAATACGGGATGAGTATGGTTTGTTCCATGATCTTGACACCTCAGCATGGAGATTAGGGGAAAACGGAAGGCCCCACCTTTAATTTGGCTACAGCATGAGTCACAACCTCCACGAGCTCCTCATACGCGAGGGACTGTGGTGGCGAGTACACAGTCTCCTCCTTGGAGGAAGATAGATGAAGTGTCTGGCTCTCTCCCCGTGGGGAAGAAACCGCAGCGCGGGTTTCCGATCCCTGAGAAGGAGCCGTGGATCTAGCGGGTGAGGACAGAGGAAAGGACGAGCCTGTCTCGGATCCCTCCGCTAAATCCACCTGCGATCCCCATGACAACAGTCTACACTGTGCCTCGGCAACAGCGGGACCGCTGCCAGCGGGATCGCGAGCCTGGCCGCTCTCATCAAACACAGCCAGGCGAGAGCGGAGCATACGCAGCGAGAGTAACTCGCAGTCATGGCAATCAGCCCCCTCGAGAGCTGACCGTGCATGCTCCGCTCCTAAACAAACAACATACAGATCGTGTGTATCCCCCGCTGCCAGATAGCGTGGGCAGGGAGGAACACAACGTCTGTAATGCAGTTCGCTCACCATAGACTTTTGCTTAGACTTTGACATTTTCTTTTCTTTTGAATTTTTTGCTTGTGGCCTGACAGACAACAGTAACTGACACATACACAGAGCACTACTGAAGAGCAGAAGCTAACTTGCGCTCTACCGGATGCGCTTATATACTTCCTGGTGCTCACATCACCCCGCTCATGATGTCTCGCTGCTCTATTGGACTGATTTTACACGTGCTTCAGAACACGGTCACGCAGGGACGTTCCCAGCTCGAGTTCCTGAAGGGGAACTGCGGTCTGATGAGATATTGTTATATGTCAGTAAAAAACTTCCCTATGCTGTCTGCCATTTTACTGTGCTCACGGCGCACACTCTTCAACTGTACGCGAAAATGAGGCACACGATCACTTCATTAATAAACCACACTAGAAACTGCGAACATTCATCGTCAGTTAAGTCATGAAATTACCAAAATAGCAATTAAAACTGCAAAACTGTGCATTACATTTAAGAACGTCTCTCAAATGCATGCAGGCTACTGAAATATTCTGCAATTCAAGATCACAATAGGGCGCAAGATGATAGGCTATGTATTTTTTTTTTTTATAATTGAATGCACAAGTTGGCCAAATCTGAGCATAGTGCAGTTAAATGTACTAGAAAATATGTGCTACTTTTTCTTTAATTTGTACAGTACGAAAATGAAAAGAAAATGAATTTGTATTTAAATGCATGAAAAAAACATATTTTACATTCTTACATTATTTTCCTTTGTACAGAGTTCGATTTAGGTATGACAAAAGTGCTGCAATTAATTCATTTAGACAACTAATAGAATGTTAAACACTGACTGATAACTTTTTCAGAGTTCATCGATTATATAAAATTCAGTGAAGGTTGACTATAGTTATCTGCATGTCTCATTCATGAGTGGGCCTATGCAATGATGGAGAACAAGCAATGGTGCAATGGTGGAAACACATGTTTGTGAATGGGCATTTGATTTACATTTGAGAGAAACTAAGATTGTAAACAAGGATACAAACTAGCCACTTTTCACTGAAAATTGCCATTGTAAATTCAAAATAGGCCATTTGTGTAATTCAAGTAGATTAAATGAGTTGAAAACTCTTGCTACTTCATACTTCAATACAAAACAATGCTGAACTTTGACAAAAAAAATGATTTTTAAATGTTATAATAGTGATTTTATAATGTCTAAATATAAATCCATTAGCAAAACATGTGAAAAGAACTATATTACAGAGTGGAAATGATAAAGGAGACAATAAATGATCCTCTGCTGCCATTTAGTGGTCATAGTGGGAATCATGACATTCATTTTAATAGTATTTGTTTTTCTACCAGGTGAAATCTTGGCAGAAATCTTCCACTTAGCATAGCACATTTTCCATGAATTATCTCTTTAAGTAAAAATGAAAAAATAAAAATGCAGATGTTCTTTAAAATAAATTTTACTATACAAAAATGTGCAAACATATTAATAAATTTGAGGCAAATTATATATATATATATATATATATATATATATATATATATATATATACAAATTAACTAACTAAAAAGTGTGCAATAATACATGTGTTTGAAAATAAAAATGAATAAAAAAATGTGTTCCACTGTCTGGGGTCTGCCATCAAAGGGGATGTTATGTGACACACTTTTCTTTTCTGTTTTCATGTTTTTACTTTTCACTTTTTTCCCTATGGTATTAAAAAAGGGGGAAGGGGGTTCAAACCTTTGTCACTTTTTTCACTCCTGATGAGTTTGTATCCTTCCATGCACAAGCTAGTAATGGGCTTTTGGTCATTGACTTGCAGAAAGTTTTCTGCGCGAGTTAGTGTTAAAGGCTACTAGAATACAGTGGGTGTTTACATGACATTATGGAATTACGTCTGCCTTCTGGAAGAAAGTGACAACGCTTGATTGATCAGAATAGTGTATCCAGACTGGAGTGTTTACTCCTCAGAGGAAGATAGGTTGAAGAACAAAGCTTTTAGTTGGTGAAAACAACATTGCATCATTCAGCACAGGGACACAGCAAAGAGCGTGCGTGCCTGTGTGTGCATGCCATTTATAAGCAGTAGTTGTTTGTAACCCAATATAGAATTAGATATAAAGAGAGATGAGTGTTTTTAATACATTTTTACAAACAGATCTGAGATGAACTGGAGGCTGTAAACTAGACTGCAATATAGACTCGTTACACTGCAGTCACAGAAATGACAATGCTATCCACAATCAATGCCATAAAACTGTTGATTCAGCATGGCATAATGTACAGTCAGCTGGTCATTCAAATAAACTAAAATTAAGACAAAATAAACCCTGACAGGGCAATTGGGACGTGCTGAAAAATAAAATAAAATAAAATAAAATAAAAAAATAAATTAATAAATAAAAATATAATAAAAATGTTTATATAATTGTAATATAATTGTTATATAATTGTTTAAAAGAGTTTAATGGTCATTATACAAATATATTGGCATAATGTAGCATAATATATACAGTAATAATGTCTCTTTCATAAATTTTTTGTAGAATCTGACATAAAACTTAAAGCCCATACTAATCCCGGAATCTCAGCCGACAGTATGTGCATTGAATAGAAAGGCTCGACAAGACAGGTATTTCTAGGTAAGGCAAGGCAAGGCAAGACAAGTTTATTTATATAGCACATTTCATACACAATGGTAATTCAAATTGCTTTACATAAAAGAAATGAAAAAATTATTTAAAAAAAATCACAACAATAAAACAAGGAATTTAAAACTTTGAAAATGATTTAAAAATTGATTTAAGAGGTTTAAAATGAATTTAAAACAGTTAAGAATAGGAAGCTGATTCCAACTGCGGGCAGCATAATAACTAAAAGCGGACTCCCCTTGTTTTGTGTGAACCCTTGGTATTTCTAACTTACTCGATCCTAATGATCTGAGTGGTCTGTTAGGTTTATAATCAGTGAACATATCTGCTATGTATTTAGGTCCTAGGCCATTGAGTGATTTATAAGCGA